GGGGCTGAGGGCTTGAAACAGGCAGGAGCAGAGGAGATGGAGGAGATAGGTGAGAGACACCCATGTGGAGAATTCATAACACATAGTCACTTCCTGGATGTGTTTGGTGAGGATTGCAAGAACTCCCAGGTTTTTGGTGTAGCTTCTCTGAAGGATGAGAAGAGACAAGGCAGCTTTGGGGCAAAAGATCATGAATTTATTGTTGGCCATGTTAATCTTGAGGTACCTGTGGGACCTACTTGTGGAGAGGTCCAGGTTGGGGCTGAGGAGTGAGGTCTGAGTGGAGGGTAGATATCTGGCAGGTGTTGGCAAATAGGTGATAATGAGCACCCAGGGAGTACTGTAGGCCTAAAAGAAAACAGAACCTAAGACAAGATCTGGAGGAGCACTGATATTTAAGGAATAGCAAGCAGCACAGGAGTGTGAGAAGGAGTACCAGAAGGCTAGGAGAGCCAGGAGAGGGGTATACCACGAAAATGGACATGTTTCAGTGAAGGAGTGCTTAGGGTGTCAAGTAAAGACTAGATCGTTTTTTAGAATTAGTAACAAGGAGGTCACCTGGTGAGGACAATTCCAGAAGCAGGTCAGAGCTGAAGTCTGAGGTCATTGTTCAAAAATATAGGTTTTATTATTATTTAGGTATGGCAAGACCAACAAATCAGGAGATGACTGCCATTGAAAAGGTAGTTTGTTATATTCACAGATCCTAAGAAGAGGGACACATGATCCATAGGGGGCTTCCCTGGGAAGTACTGGGCTTGGTCAGGAGGCACAGGAGGGAGAGGGAGCTTCTGTAGGAAAGAATGGGTGAGACAAGATAAGCAGGTTTAGGATTGGCTAGTTTGGATAATTTCAGTGGGTTCTGGGGGCACAGGGGTGACTCTCATTGGCTGGTACCTGGCCTTGCAATGATTACGGAGGGTGGCTAGTGGCCTGGAGTGTGAGAGCCTGATAAAGGAGATGGTTGAGGATGTGGGCACTGTCAAATCAGATTGGCTAGCTAAGCTGGATTGGTAAATTGGGTGGATTAAATTAGATTGGCTGGTTTGCAGTTGAAAGGTGCACTTGTAGGTGAATGGTGTATTAATCTCCAGGAATCAGTTAGCCCTGCGGTGGGTAGTCACCCCAGATGTGGAAGCATCAGAATACAGAACATAAAAGACCTGATTAATACAGTTATGGGTTAGGAGCAAGTGAGAAGAGATTCAAGATGTAAAGGAGAGGAACCTTGTAAGTGAGAGTGGTGTAACTGCTGGTGGCTCACTCTTCTCTCAAGGGTGGTTGGAGGTGGAGAGGTGGGTTGCTAGTCTCTAAAGAATAGGGCTAGAGTCTCCCCTGAAGGCCAGGGCCTGCCTGCTGGGAAGATCTTGCTGACTCCTGCCTTTCGTGCAGCAGCCCCTGGCAGAGATGCTCAAGAGCATGGGCTGGTGGGGCTGCTTGGGCTTTTGGTCTCAAGCTCAGGGTTTTGTCTTGGCCAAGTTCAGTTCTTCTCAGTCTGCACCAAGTCAGGGGAGGACCAGAAAGGGCTGCCTGAGAGAGGTGAGAATAGCCCCTCTGAGTCCTGACTCAGTCTCTCCACGAAAGGGAAAATGAATTAGCAGTTTTTTGGCAGGTACATCTGTGCCTAGGGATAAACAAGACTCATCCTTGTGGAATGTGAGCAGAGTTAGCATTTTTTTTTTTTAATCTGCTTTTGGAAAAAGAAAGGGGAGGCAGAGATCCCACAGCTATCTGAGGCCACCTCTATCTCGACTTTCCAAAGTCAGGACCCATCTTCTTGGGCAAAGCTGCTTTGTAAGCAAGCTGCGGTCTCCTGATTTACAAGCTCATAATATCCCTAACTCTGTCTGAAGAGGCTGACAATTACCCAACACTCCTTGCCAGCTGGCTTCAGCCAAGAGAGCTGCATGTAAATGCAGCATCCTGTAGCTACTCTGGGTCAGGCTATTCCAAAGTGAAGAGAAATTCAACACTTAGATGGAGAAAAGGAAAAAAATCTGAAACATGTTCTTTATGTTAGAGGCATTTCTGCTGCTCATGGGCAGGAAGGAAAGGCAGAGAATGTCAGTGGATGTAGGAAAGCATGTATTTCAGCTTCTCTGGGTGGGAATCAGGCAGATCTCATCCATTCAGCCTTCTAGGAGCTATTGGAGGAATGGGTGGACCTGGGGGTGGGGGTGAAATCTTTCTCAGCCCAAGTCCTGGGCATCATCCTTTCCTGCTTTCACCCCCATATCCAGTCACTCATCCAAACTTGAATTCTACCTGCAAAGTGCTTATGGGGACCAGCTCTTCCTCTTCATCCTGACTGACACAGTGCCAGCCCTAATACTCATTTTCTCTTGCTTGGACTATTGCAGTAGCCTGCAAGCTGGTTTCCTGCCTCCAGTCTCTTACTCCCCATTGCTACCAGAGCAATTAAAAAAAAGATTTTATTTATTCACTAGATAAATAGAGAGAGAGCACAAGAGGGGGAAGCTGCAGGCAGAAGTAGAGGGAGAAGCAGGCTCTCCGTTGAGCAGGGAGCCCAACGTGGGGCTTGATCTCAGGACCCCAAGATCATGACCTGAGCTGAAGGCATACACTTAACTGACTGAGCCACCCGGGCACCCCTGCTACCAGAACAATTTTTTCCCCAAACCGTGTTTTTTTTTTTTTAATGTATATACTTTAAAAATTTTGTAATAACGTGCATGTGTTTTTAAATACAATGATACTAAACAACATGGAGTAAAAACTAAATCTTCACCAACTTGTGTCCTCTAGCCATTGCTACGGTTGTTAGCAATTGTGTTATCCTTCTAGAACTATCCATGTATATAATATTAGTAAATCTGTTCTTGGTGGGGAGGTAAGCAGACAAACTTAGACTGTGATACATTTTGTTGTGTGCCTTACATTTTTTTTAAGATTTTATTTATTTATTTTTGTGAGAGAAAGAGAGAAAGCGAGTGCATGAACTAGAGGGAGGGGCAGAGGGAGAAGCAGACTCCCTGCTGAGCAGGGAGCCCGATGCTCAATCCCAGGACCCTGAGATCATGACCTGAGCTGAAGGCAGACGCTTAACTGACTGAGCCACCCAGGCGCCTGCCTTACATTTCTTTTTTACTGAACAATGTCTCTTGTGGGTCATTCTGTATCAGGATATATAATGTTGACTTTTTAAAAAATCAGTTCTATGATATTCCATTTATGATCATATTACAGTATATTTAACCAGTCCCCTATTGATGGCTGTTTAGGTGTTATAAACTGTATTATTATAAGCAGTAGTTTAAATATTATTACTAAATGTTTAATTCAAATTAAATTATTCAGTGTTTTCTCTCTTTGCAAATGATGTACAGGCTTATATTATCAGGCCAGACTCTTTCCTGAGCTTTGATCCATTGATCAGCTATTATTTTTTTTAAAGATTTATTTATTTTAGAGAGAGTGGAGGGGGAGGGGCAGAGGGGGAGGGAGAGAGAAACCCAGGCAGACTCTGTGCTAAGCATGGAGCCTGACATGGGGCCTGCTCTCACAACCCTAAGATCATGACCTGAGCCAAAACCAAGAGTCAGATGCTTAGCTGACTGCGCCACCCAAGTGCCCCTTGATTAACTATTAATATGTCCACACGACTGTCTCAAATTTATTATGTCTTGTCTTGTCCACTGCATAAAGGGGACCCCCATCTACATAATTGCCTAAGCCCGAAACCTTGAAGTTGTCTGCAATTACTTCATTTCCCTCCCTGCCCACCCACCTGGCCCATCTACCTCCCATAGAGCTCTTTTTTGCCCACTTCTCTCCAAGAATTTGCATCTTCAGTTAAGCCTTTTAACTCCACCTCACGCTGCAGCTGCAGCCCTTCCATAGAAATAATTTCACTACCATCACTCAAAGCTTACAGTCACCTTTCACCGGGATGAATGCAGTCATAATAAGAGTAAAGGGCTTATAAAGCACTTGCTATGTGCCAGGCACCATTCTAAGTGTATTATAAATCCTAGTTGCTTTTAATACTCAAAATCACCCTCAGGGTATGTGGACTACTACTACTACTACTATTATTATTTTACTTGCTTTCAAAAAAATTATTTATTTATTTACTTATTTCATTCCAATATAATTAACATACTGTGTTATATTAGTTTTAGGTGTACAATGTAGTGATTCAGCAATTCTCTACGTTTCTCAGTGTTCATTGGGATAAGTGTGTTCTTAATCCCCTTTATCATTTCACCCATCCCCCCCATCCACCTCCCCTCTGGCGACCACCAGTTTGTTCTCTGTATTTAAAAGTCTTTTTTCAATTGTGTCTTTTTTCTTCATTTGTTTGTTTGTTTTGTTTCTTAAGTTCCACATTTGGAAATCATATGGTATTTGTCTTTCTCTGACTTATATCGCTCAACATTATACCCTCTAGCTCTATCCATGTTGTTGCAAATGGCAAGATTTGATTCTTTTTTATGGCTCAGTAATATTCTATTCTGTATATATACCACCTCTTTATCCATTTATCTATGGATGGATACTTGGGTTGCTTCCATATCTTGAGTATTGTAAATAATGCTGCAATAAACATAGGAGTACATATATCTTTTTTGAATCAGTGTTTTCCTTTTCTTTGGGTAAATACCCAGTAGTGGAATTAGTGGATCATAGGGTAGATCTATTTTTAATTTTTAAAAAAAGATTGTATTTAGTTATTTGAGAGAGAGAGTGTGAGAGAGAGACAGAGCAGGGTGAGGGGCAAAGGGAGAAGCAGACTCCCCGCTGAGCAGGGAGCCCGATGTGGGGCTTGATCCCAGGACTCTGGGATCATGACCTGAGCCGAAGGCAGACACTTATCCATCTGAACCACCCAGGTGCCCTTCTATTTTTAATTTTTTTGAGGAACCTCTATACTGTTTTCCATAGTGGCTGCACCAATTTGCATTTCCACCAACAGTGCATGAGGTTTCTTTTTTCTCCACATCCTCACCAACTCTTGTTACTTCTTGTGTTTCTGACAGGGTATGTGTACTATTATCTCCATTTTATAAATGAGGAAACGGAGGCACAGAGAAGCGCATCAATGGGTAAGAGGCTGACTGTTCAACACTATTCTGCAGAATGATCCCCCTTGTGTCCCTTGCAGAACATTCTCCAAATCAGTGCCCTTTTTAAACATGGAGCAAGTCACATCCTGCACCTCTTTAAAACCCTTCAGTGGCTCCATGTTTTCTCCTTTCTCTTAGAATAAACCCCAGATTCCTATAAGGGATTGCGCGGAGGCCCTACATGTCTCTGGCTTACCTAGCATCACGGTTCTCACCAGCATCATTCTTGACAGGCTCTCTTTTGGTTCTGGGATATTTCCACCTTGTCCCACCTCATGGCACTTGAATTTACTCTTTGTATAGACATGTGGTTCTCTCCTGGGGTTATTTCCTCTCCTTCCTCTCCCCTCAAGACCCCTGCCCTTCTCCCTGACACTCCACCAAGTGTGGTTGTCACAACTGGGGCAAGGGGAGGGGCTGCGGGCATCTAGTGGGTAGAGAGGCCGAGACACTGCTGAACATCCTGCAGTGGCTGGAGCCTCCCCACAGCAAAGAATTCTCTGGCCCCAAATGTCAGCAACTGATAAACCTGTCTCTTCACATGCTTCATTCACTTTCAGTTGTAGATTTGGTGGAAAATTTGGTCTCCCCAGAAATGTCTCCCTGACTCTCCTCTTAAAAGGAGAGCTAGCCTCATGCCCCGCCCAAATGATCTCTGGCCAGTTTCCGAATTATTAGTGCCTTGCTTTATTTTGTTCTTCTGGCTTCCTGGGTTTCAATGTTTTAGGCCACTGTTTCTAACCTTCTTTTTGGAAAATATCTTCGTGAGATATTCTCAGTTTTTTAATTTGGGTCATGTATGGTCTTTAAAATTTATTCTGTAGTTTTGGTGCTACTGTTATTGGAGTCTAGTTTTACATTATACTTTGTGACCTACTTGTGTTATCATGTACATAGGTACTAGTGTTTGAGAAGAGCATTTATTGAATTGGAAAGACCTTGCCAATCAATGTTGAGTGAATCGAATGTTTTCAAAATGCTATATTAATTTGTGCTGTTTTATATAGTACAGGAGCATGTGGTTATTTAAATAAGTTTAAAGTTAAACTAATTAAAATTAAATAGAATTTGAAATTCAGTTCCTCAGGTAGGCTAGCTGCATTTCAAGTTCTCGAGAGCCCGTTGTGGCTCATGGCTACCATGTTGGTTGGCGAAAACAGAAAACATTTCCATCATTGCAGAAATTTCTGTTGGACTGCATTGTTCCAGAATTTGGTCCCATTTTAAGATAAAGCATATATACCACGTGAATGTTCATATAGATGTAGATATCAATTTTTTTGATTTGCATGTGAAATCTTTTATTTATATTTATTTATTTTTTAAGTTTTATTTTATTATGTTATGTTAGTCACCATACATTACATCATTAGTTTTTGATGTAGTGTTCCATGGTTCATTGTTTGTGTATAACACCCAGTGCTCCATTCAGTATGAGCCCTCTTTAATACCCATCACCAGGCTAACCCATCCCCTGACCCCCCTCCCCTCTAGAACCCTCAGTTTGTTTCTCAGAGTCCATAGTCTCTCATGGTTCGTCTCCCCCTCTGATTCCCCCCCTCTTCATTTTTCCCTTCCTACTATCTTCTTCTTCTTCTTCTTTTTTTTTAAACATATAATGTATTATTTATTTCAGAGGTACAGATCTATGATTTAACAGTCTTGCACAATTCACAGCACTCACCATAGCACATACCCTCCCTAATTCTATCACCCAGCCAACCCATCCCTCCTACCCCCCACCACTCCAGCAACTCTCAGTTTGTTTCCTGAGATTAAGAATTCCTCATCAGTGAGATCATAGGATACTTGTCTTTCTCTGATTGACTTATTTCGCTCAGCATAACACCCTCCAGTTCCATCCACATCATTGCAAATGGCAAGATTTCGTTTTTTTTTCTGATGGCTGCATAATGTAGATATCAATTTTATAGGTTTTCTGTTATAATATGGTTTTTAAAACTTTATTTTCTTTTTATACAGTGTACTTTTTTTTTAAAGATTTTTATTTATTTATTTGACAGAGAGAGAGAGACAGCAAGAGAGGGAACACAAGCAGGGGGAGTGGGAGAGGGAGAAGCAGGCTTCCCGCGGAGCAGGGAGCCCAATGCGGGGCTCGATCCCAGGACCCTGAGATCATGACCTGAGCCGAAGGCAGACGCTTAACGACTGACCCGGGTGCCCCTATACAGTGTACTTTTACTAACTTGATAGGATACACTGAATTATTAAATGCTAAAAATCACCACATTCTTTGGAGAAATTTCTACTTTGCCACATTTAAAAAATATACTGCTTCATAAATATTTATTTATTTTTTCCTTTTTTAAAAAAATTTTCTTTTATTATGTTAGTCACCATACAAACATCATTAGTTTTTGATGTGGTGATCCACGATTCATTGTTTTCGTATAATACCCAGTTCTCCATGCTGTACGTGCCCTCCTTAATACCCATCACCGGTCTAACCCATCCCCTCCCCCCTAAAACCCTCAGTTGTTTCTCAGAGTCCATAGTCTCTCATGGTTCATCTCTCCCTCTGATTTCCCCCCCTTCATTTTTCCCTTCCTTCTCCTAATGTCCTCCATGCTAGAAGAAAAATGTTAAGACTATGTCACTTTCCCTTGGATGTCAAGGGAAACATTTTTCTTCAAGATGGGAGGGTCTGATTTCATAAGTGAATCCCCGGGAGTACAAGAGAAAGAAAGAGTACTGGAAAAGTAATGCCACATCCTCTTGTCTTATCTCCTGAAATGCGCATTCAAGACAACTGTGCTTACATTTGCCCCCTCAGAAAACAAAGGACCAAGCAGCACTTCCGGAAGTGAATGTGGCTAACCATTATGGGAATGGGGCATGCTCACTTACGAGGGTCCTCCTGGGATTTCCCCATGACGGACTCTGGCTACTACCTTGTATCCAGCTTCTTAGCAGACAGTGTGGGGCCATGGGTCCCTGCCTGCTAAGTAATGAACCCTCTCAGGGTCCCAGAAGTTGAGGGGTCAGGAGGCTTGGTGGAGTGTCAGGGAGAAGGGTGGGGGTCTTGTCCGTGCCACCTGAGGCGGTGCACCCCCCGTATTTGTGTGAGCATTCTGGGTTGGAGCCAGTGCGAGGCAGATGAGGGCAGGTCGCCCTTGTGATTCACCAATGGTGCCAGCTTGAAATTAGGGCCGGACAGGACTGAGGTGAGGTGAGTGAGGCACTCGTAATGAGAAGTGCAACAGGATGCCAAAAAAAAAAACCTCAGTAGCCAAGAAAATGCTATTTTAATGGCAGTATTTCCAAAAACATAAGAAATGCAAAAATGCCATGATGAATAAAATACCAGTCTTTGAAACAAAGGCAGGATCTGACCCTGCATTTGCACGGTTCACCTTACTTGCATCAACCTCACCTTGGCCCTGTCACCAGATAAAAGTTGCCGTCACCATCTTAAATGTGGCGAGAAGAATTTCCCTTTTTAAAGAGTACAAAACAAAGCTTCCTGCTACTTTTATAAAATGCACGGAGGTCACAGCACACGTCATCAGGATATAGGTGGCTGGATTCTCACAAGGTCACGCACAAGTGCAACCAGAACCTAGCCCCCCGGAAGCTGCCCTTGTGCTCCTTCCAGGCACTACCCCCACCTCAAGGTGAAGCTAACCCCTAGCCTGACGTCTTTTTTTTTCATTTTCTTTTTTTTTTAAATTGAGCTGAAATTCATACAACATAAAATCAACTATTTTAAAGTGTACAATTCAGTGGCGTTTTATATACTCATGGTGCTGTGTGAATGACCACCTCTATCAAATTCTAGAACATTTTCATCTCCCCAAAGGGAAGCTGTACCCATTAAACAGTCGTTTCCTGTTCTCCCTTCCCCAGCCTGTGGCTAACACCAATTTACTCTGTCTCTCGGGATTTACCTATTCAGGACACTTGAAAGAAATGGAATCATACGGCAACATGTGACCTTCTGTGTCTGGCTTCTTTCACTTAAGTGTAATGTTGTCAGGGCTTATCCATGTGGTAGCCAGTGTTGGCCCTTTACTCCTTATTATAGGTGAATAATGTTCCATTGTATGGATACACCACATTTTGCTTATCCAATCATCTGTTGATAGGCATCTGAGTTGTTTCTATCTTTTGACTTTTGTGGATCCCGCTGCTATGAACATTACCGTAGAAGTATTTGAATACCTGTTTTCAACTCTTTTGGGTTTATTCCTCGGGGTAGAATTGCAAAATAATATGATAGCTTTATGTTTAACTTTTTAAGGAACTGCCGAACTGTTTTCCTGAGGCTGCACCACTTTCCATTCCCACCTGGAACGTACAAGGTTTCCAGTTTCTCCATGTCCCAGCTAACACTTACATTCTAGTTTTTGTGGTTGTTGTTGTTGTTGTTGTTTAAATTATAGCCATCCTATGGGTATCTCATTGTGCTTTTGATTTGCATTTTCCTAATGACTAGTTATGTTGAGCATCTTTTTATATGCTTATTGGCCATTTGTAGATCTTCTTTGGAGAACCGTCTATTCACATCCCCTGCTTATTTTAAAATTGGGTTGTTTGTCTTGTTGTCTATTGAGTTCTTTATTTGTTCTGGGTGTTAGACCTTTTAAAGATGTATGGTTTGCAAGTACTTTCTACCATTCTATAGGTTATCTTTTTACTTTTTGGATGACATCATTTAATGCATGAAGGTTTTTAATTTTGATGAATTCCGATTTACCTAATTTTTCTTAGGGTATGTGTGCTTTTGGTATTATATCTAAGAATCCATTGCCAAATCCAGGGTTCATGAAGATTTAACCTTATGGTATCTTATAAAAGTTTTATAGTTAGATTATATTTAGGTTGATCCATTTTGAATTAATTTTTGCATATAGTATGGTGTAGGGATCCAACCTTGTTCTTTTGCATGTGGCTCTCTAGTTGCCTCAGACCATATGTTGAATATTTTTCCCCATTGACTAGTCTTGGCATCTCTGTTG